GGAACAAAAGAAATCAACCCCAAGTAAACTCCAGAAATCATTGAGGTGTTGCCGAGCTTCTCTCAGACAAACGCTCCGTGATGTTGCCCCGACATGAAAATAGAAATGCGAAATAGGATATTATAATGAACAAAGATGATTTTGCTTTTTTCTTGGTATGCAGGACGCCGTTGTAATGCCCGTCTTGGTACAACAAATTGGTCGCTAGGAAAACAGTGTGTGGAAAAGTAAAGTTGTAGTTGTCGTTACGTGATCGAGGTGAGTGAGGAGGGTGCATCGTGGTTTTTTTTCTGGCCGTGTGTCGTTGTAGTGTGGTGATTGTGTGGCTGTGGTGTATGTCGTCGTAGCAAAGCGTCGTAATACGTGAACAACAGTCCGGTGGTGTACAGGACAACGCCATATTACTGGGATCGTCTTCGTTGCAAGCGGACCTGCTCAAAGGATACAGCATACGCCTGCAGCTCCTTCTTGACACCATCAGAGAGGCGTGAGGCATCCGAGGCGGTGCTCCGCATGGAGCACAGGCTGCTGTGGGAGCTCGAGGGCGTCAGCTGGCGGAGGGGCAGCGACGACGACGACGATTGGGTGGGCAGGCGATCGGCGCGCAAGGATGAGTAGTATCCGAGCAGCGGCTTGGCCGTGGGCGTGGTGCCATATGGTTGGGCGTTGCCAAAGTCGTAGGCTGGGGAGAGGTAAAACTTGGAGCGGGCCGCGGGGCGGGTGTTACTTGTAGGAGTAGGAATGGCAGCAGAGGCCGTTGACCACGGGCCCGAGGTGGGAGCAAAGCCCGGAGAGCTGGCCTGGGAGGAGGGTGATGAAGGCGACTTTTCAAAGTCGGCGAGGCGGCAGGACTCGGAGCAGTAGGCGGCGCCGTCGTGAACCTGCTTGTCGCAGGCGAGGCAGAACTGGTGGGCCCAAAGATCGAGGCTCATGGTGGCGGTTGTGGTGGTGTTGAGTGGTGGTGGTTTGTGTGTGCCTGATTGCAAGTGATGGGAAGACGATAAATTCCGTCTACCAATCAAAGAAGAAACAAGAAACGGTAGTCGTGGCGGCAGTCGTGATGCTGTCGAAGTGGAACGGTAGGTAGACAGGTGACACTGCGAGGACCGGAGAGGTGCAGGCTGACTGTGATAGCGAGACTGGTAGCAAGGCTTGCAAGGTTGTGTAGTGATTGTGTGATGAAGGAAAGAAGAAGGAAAAGGTAAGAGGAAGAGAGTTCGTTTTGTAAAGAAGAGAGGGAAAAGTCGCTGGGTAGAGGGAGCATGTTAAAAGACGTGTCGAGGAAGAGGGCAGCGGCATGTTAAAGTAGTGAGGGTGAATAGCAGCACAAAGTGGTGCACCAGCCAGCACGTACCAGCAGTGGTCGATGGCTGCATGGGAAGTGGGTTCGCACGAAGCGGGTCCGTCCTTTGGTGACTGTGGACTGTAGCGGACGGGACCAAGGCCTTTGGACGAAAAAGTTTTAGCGCCATTTCCAAGTTGCGTACCTGCCTCCCGTCATGCGCCTGAAAAAAAAAATTTAAAAGAATCGAAATGATGATACGGGTGGGAAAGGAAAACGGGCTGGCGGGCGTTAGTCTAAAACGGGCAGTGACGGAGCCGAGAGACTAGCATGGGCCGTAGAGGTAGCGCTGCAAGCTGTGACAGGGGTTGCTGTAGTGGGGACTCGTTTTGGGGAATAAAAGACAAGAGTGAAAATGTAGAATAAAATAAAAACCCAGGAATATTCATACAAAATTCAAGGGCCCACATGCCCTGCAGCAGATGCGAGCGACCATCCAGCGCTTGTTCCCTGGGGTGGACACTAGATTGCCGGGGGAGGAGGGGTGAAGAGTCTGGATGTGTGTACCCCAGTACAATTCTTTAGATGCAGCAGCCAAGCTAAGTCGAATTATGCAAGCTCTGCACAATTCGGCAAGGTGTCGAGACCATGGGACTCGCGGGGAGGCCGTCGACTAGTAGCCGCCGTGGAACGGGGGTGGCTTCAGCTAAGCAGCCTCTGCGTAACAGAAAGAATTCGTTGCTAATAATTAGAGAGAAGAAATTTGCTAAGAAAAAAAAATTAAAATAAAGTAAATGGTGAAAGAAGCTCGGGAAAAAAAGGGCAAAAGAAAAATCTTGCTTGTCACGCAAGCCCGTTTACACGCACGCACTACACGCACTACAAACTGACGACATTGGCTCCCGCAGTGGTGTGTTTCCACTACCAAAACACGCAACAAGCCCCCCGTAGACACTTGACACTGTACCCTGTGACACTTGAGCTGATGAGTAAAGTCTTTTTTGCTTGTACCATCCAGCGGGCCGTCACACCTTTTTCCCTACCTCCTGTTACAGAACAATGTCGGACCAGTCTGACTGTTGACTGATATTATATGGATCTGGTGGTGCAATTCCGCTTTCCGTGCTCCGAATTGCTCCCTATTACACAACCAGTCAGCCAATTGCGACGATAAATTATCAGGATTAACTTGAAGATCTGCTTCCCGTCGATGGCGCCACAAGAGGGTCCCCGAGTTTAAAGAAAAAAGAAATAACTAGAAAAAAGATCCAGCGCAATGCAACTGCCCCGGCATCGGCAGCCTGTTGCTCATACTCCCGTGGCTGTGTATCAGCATTCCAATCATGTACCCGTCGCCGTCACTGTCATTCATGATCTGAGGAAGAGTGAAAATTTTTCTTGATTGTCCTTTCGTATCAAACTGCGGCGTCTGCCTAGTCGCTTGGGGGCCATGTGGTGTCCTGTACAGACAGAGGCTCTGTCCGCCTTGTCATGCACCCGTGTGCAAGCGACAAGGTATTTACGCAGAGCACCCCGAATACATCAAGGTGCGGGGGTACAAGCTCATTCCATATTATCACGGCGACACCAGCAAGTACCAATCTTTACTGCAATTCGTTTTGACCTTGCAGGAAACATTCATTTGCCCACGCAGTGCCTTTTGCTCTTCTCCATTCTCGCCCCGTGGCTTGATCTCTACATGCATGCATCCGTGCATTTCTCCTGCTCCTGCGGCGGCCCTTTCCATATCCGCGTACCCCATCACGCAACTTCACGCAGTACTTTTCTATAACCACTTGCCACGCTTGTGCTACCATCAAGACAGAAAGACGAGCAAGAAACAACATGAGACGCTCCACTGCCCAAAGAAGTACGCTGGCTGGCTCTCCATTATCAGCCACCACCACGAAACACCACCACGAAACACCACCGCAAAGCACCATCAAAAAACACCACCCAAAAACACCACCACCACCCACAAAGGAATGCATGCATTCTGCGACGGCTTGGCGGCCCTGGTGCTGCCACTTTGCGCTTTGCCGCCCACAAGGCACCTAAACAGTGCAGAATTTTACCCTCAGGCTCACACGCCCTTTCGGAGCACAGGTCATGCCCCCCCCCCCCCCCCCCCGTTCCCTTTCGTCTCGGCCGGGTCCAATGTCTCTGACATATTTTTCAATACCGTACACCTTTACTATTTCAGCACACACACCATCGAAAAAAAGCGTTACGTCCATTCGAGTTAGCGGTGGTGGCGACTCGCTAAAAACCAATCATCCGCTCCCATCAGCCCCAAGCCACCAACGACCTTTTTTCCATTTCTGGGCTAGCCATCCAAACCATTGTGGCCATGATGATACCTGCCTGCGGCCCGCCAGACTGTTTTCTTTCTATCAGCGTTGGTGTCGCCACCCTCTGGGACTGTGTGCGTCGTCGTTGGCTCTGAATGGACGGGGTTTTCCACACACACACACCTTGTTCTTTTGGTGATGTGCGACGTGATCTCGGCGTGTTCGGCCAAGGTCAAGCATGGACGAGACTGCCGATGGGTATGGTGTGTCGCACTCGAAAATCTGTGGCCACAGTCATGCCCATAACATGTCGCTTATCACCATCATATCCCGCGTTTGATCCTTACGTATTTTGAGCCCGGCCTGAGCAGAGCCATACGGTCAACAGTTTCGTCATGGTGCAGCAGCTACTTGCATGTCGAGATCGACAGCAAAGGCCAAGACTACAGTTGCATCCCAAGCAATACCGGCTCTCGAGCAATGTGCTAATTTCAACTACGGGTCTCGCCACTCGACAAATTGTACATGCTCTTTCTACCATTGACACGGCACGGGTGGAATTGGCCGTTTCTCATGGCTGCCCGGCCGACTGCATCACTGCCTACCTAGGTACCTACCTGCACTAGTTCGATCCAGCGGCTACTTGCCGCTACCTGATACCTATCAGTATGTCTGCACCTTGACCCTGGACAATTCCCTCGACTCGGCTTGTGCCACGTTGGGAAGCTGCACGGAATGTTGCCGTCGCCAAATTTTTTTCTCTCTCCCTTGTCCGAGACCTGGCTTCGTCCGAGACCCCCCCCAACACGCCTGCAGAAATACCAACACGGTTGATGCCGCATGATGCAATATGCTCGATCAACATGCTGCCCAGCAACAAGAAGAATCAAAAAGGGTGATGGAAAACCTGCCTCTAATGCCCGCAAACCCGAGATGCAATGCAACGCTGGGCCATGAGTGGTGGTCTGTGCTGACCCGTCATTGGACCAGCCGTGTCTCCATGGCCCGTTCTGACGACAGTGGTACTCAGCCCGCAAGCCACCATCACGGCAAGCAAAGAAACAAGGACCGGGTTAGTGAACGCCTCGTTCATTTCGCACGACTGATCAGAGAACCCCAGATTTCAGAACAGCACCATCGTTGCAAGCGCCTCCTTCGCTGAACCCCTACCCTGCCTGCCTACTAGTTGCTGTCTTGGCAAAAGACACAGTGTCTCTGGCTCACGTTGATGGAAGGGCGCAACATGCATGTTTTGAGTCGATTGCCTGGCGATGAGTACAAGGGGACCACGTATTTGCATCTCGGACAAGTGCCGTTAGGCACGCATTGCATATACTGATGAAGCAACCGTTGTAGGCGCACCTTGTAGAACCCTGATGTATGTCCATGCAGGAGCCTCGTGGACGTATGTAGAATTGTTGGTGTCTGCCGCATTTGACCTGTAACATTTCCACCGTCTTTGTTGCTGCTGGTCGGGGGGGTTCAATGTGTGAAGGGCTAGCGATGCAAATGGGCCAGCCCTCCCAATAATGAGCGATGATCACGAAGCAAGCACCACAAACTATCTTGCGCCACTACTACGCACCACTGAGCACGAACCACCAGCAGCAGTGCCTCCTCCGCACCCTGCGGTTCATTTATGAGCTCCTTCTCCGCACTCTGTAGTAATTTGATGAGACTGGGTGCCCCTCATTCATTGTCAAAACTGGGGGAGAGACAGAGCGAGACAGAGAGAGCCTGATGGTACTCGGTACTGAGCAGATCACCACCCTCTCTCGCTTGGAAGGAATCCCCTCGCCCCAGCCCAGTCCAGCCCCAGTTCTAGCATGACCCATTTGGGTTGCTACTTTGGGTCAACTGGGGATGCGACGAATCACAGGACCTTTGCCAAGCGGCTTCTCCGCATTCAAAGAAGCTCGCTGATGGATCTCTCCCGCCTCTCAGATTTCTCTCGAGTTTTTCGTCGTCATACCTCTTTTGCTCTCCCCACTTGGCGACATGAGGGTGGCGCTTCCAATTTTCTTGGAGAATGGGAGTACAATAGAGCGAATATAAACTACACAAAAAGAAGCCGTAGATTGGAGGCATTTTTGGGACACGCGGATTGGCGAGATTCGGTGGCGCGGGGTGCGAAGAATTTCCAAAACCTGAACATGGTTTGTTAGGGAAGACGAAGGCAGTTTACAGAAACGGGCCCAGATCAGCAAAAGGGTCCAAGACAAAAAAGAAAAAGACGCCATTAAAAACTTGGTACACGATGACAGCGGCAGCCGCGGATGCGACGGGCGGTCCGATCTAGCAATCTGCTAATAACTAGAGAACTAGAGACAGCCAAGACGGAGAGTTTTTGCTAGTCTTT